GCGAGGAGCAGGGCTGCGGCAGCCCGGAGGGGCGAGGAGCAGGGCTGCGGCAGCCCGGAGGGGCGAGGAGCAGGGCTGCGGCAGCCCGGAGGAAGGTCTCCCCAGAGCTGCCCTCGCCACGCCTCACCCAGCTCCAAGGGCCCTGCCGCGCCAGCAGCGGAGCAGCCGCAGACCGGAGCAAGCAGCGCGCTCTGGAAGGAGGACGGCGAGAGCCAGAGCTTTAGTCGCGCTCCCCGCCACAAATCTGACGCGCGCGCGCAGGCACGCACGCACAGGCACACGCACGCACGCACGTACGCATGCGCACAGCTACACGAAGAAGCAAAAGACGCTACCCGCACCCGGGAGAAATGAGAGTCGCGAGAAACAGACCCGGGCGCAAGGCGATGCTGCAAGCACCGAGGACTTTAGGCCACGAGACGATCCAGGGACCTCCGGGCGGTGACCACCAAGTGCGGGCGGAAATGACACAAACTAAGTTACCAAAACGGACAAAAGAACAAATAGGAAACCTGAATTTGTAATTAAAAACCTTCCTACAGGGGCGCCTGGGTGGCTCAGTGGGTTAAGACTCTGCCTTCGGCTCAGGTCATGGTCTCAGGGTCCTGGGATCAAGCCCCGCCTTGGGCTCTCTGCTCAGCGGGGAGCCTGCTGTCTCCTCTCTCTCTCTGCCTGCCTCTCTGCCTGCTTGTGATCTCCGTCTGTCAAATAAATAAATAAAATCTTAAAAAAAAAAAAACAAAACCTCCCTACAAGGAAATGCTAGAAGCAGGTGGCTTTGTGAGTGAATCCTACCAAATACACAGAGGAAGTAATACCGGGGGCGCCTGGGGAGCTCCGTCCGCTGAGCGTCGGACTCTTGCTTTAGGCTCAGGTCGTGATCTCGGGGTCGTGGGATCGAGTCCCATGTCGGGCTCTGCACTCAGTGGGAGTCTGCTTAAGGGTTTCTTCTCCCTCTGCCTCTCCCCACCCACCACCTGGGAAAGAAAGGGAGAAAACCATTCTTACACACACTTTCTCAGGACGCAGATGAGGAAACAGCGCCCAGTTGATCCAGTGCGGCGGAGGAAGAACATCACAAGGTAAGATGAATTACAGAATGTCCCGCGTGAACGCAGGTAAACTCCCTAAGAAAATACTAGCAGGTGCCTGGGGGGCTCAGTGGGTCGAGCCTCTGCCTTCAGCTCGGGTCATGATCTCAGGGTCCTGGGATCGAGCCCCACATTGGGCTCCCTGCTCAGCAGAAGCCTGCTTCCCCCTGCCCCACCTGCCTCTCTGCCTACTTGTGATCTGTCAAATAAATAAAAACTTAAAAAAAAAAAAAAAAAAGAAAATACTGGCAGAACAAATGCCCCAATGTAGAAAGGAGGAGCATCATAACCAGGAAAGCTTCGTCTCCGGAGTCTGAGCTCAGAGGGCACTTGAGAACCTGGGAATATAACCCACCACATTTCCAGACTAAAGGAGGAAGAGATGATTAGAAACAGGACGTGGCAAAATGTCCGTTTACACTCCCAGCAGAAAGGACTAGAAGGGACCTTCTCAACAGGAAAAGGGTGGCCAACAGCAGCAACGACGACGTCGCAAGTTAAGGGGCGCCTGGTGGCTCCGTGGGTTACGCGTCCGACTCTTGATCTCAGCTCAGGTTCTTGATCTCGGGACCGTGTGTGCAAGCCCCACGGGGCAAAGCCCAGCACACCAGCCAGCCCGGCCCCCGCCCCCTCCAGCCACCTCACGGAGAGTCTCCCACGCTCGGCCTCCTCCTGTCTCTTTCCCGTGCCCTAAGCTCGTCTGTTCCGTTTCTCGCGCTCCACACGAGTGAGCTCACACGATCGCGGTCTCTCTCTGACGGCCGTCCTTTCACGTAGCACACCCTCTGGTTCCATCGAGCCCCGGTTCGGGCTCTGTGTTCGGCTCGGAGTCCGCTCGTCCCTCTGCCTCCGCTGCTGCCCCCGCTCAGGGCCGTGTGCCTCCTGTCTCAGGCCAATCAATCAATCAATCAACAAGTAAAATCTTTGCTAAAAAAGCCTCTCGGGCTCCACACACGTCACCGTGAACGGCGAGTGGTCGTTCTTTCTGACGGCCAAGGGATGCCCCAGACATACGGACACACCCTGTCTGTACCCACTCGTCCGCAGAGACGGACGTGGACCATCTCCCTCGTCCGGCTGCTGTCGACAGCGCTGCTCGGAACGCTGGGGCGTGTGAGCCCCTCACGGCTTCTCTGTGTCATGCGGGGGAGTCCCCAGCGTGCGACCGCTGGGGCGGGGGCGGCTCCATGTCCCCTCCCCGAGGACCCTCCCCGCCGCATCCCCGCGTGGCTGCCCCAGCTCGCGTCCCACCCGCAGGGACGAGGGCTCCCCTTCATCCGCGTCCTCGCCAACACTGGCGTTTCCCAACTCGCTCTGGCCCTTCTGACAGGCGTCACGTGCCGTCGCGTCGCGGTTCCGATGCGTTTTCCGATGCTGAGTGAGGTTGAGCATCTTTTCCGTCTCTGTGGGCCGTCGGGGTGTCGTCTTGGAAGTGTCTGTTCGCGTCTCCTGCCCATTTCTTATCTGCATTGTCTGTTGTTTGAGGGCTGAGTTTGGTGAGTTCTTTACAGATTTTAGACGCTGACCCGTTGTCCGGTGCGCCACTTGCAGACACCGTCTCCCGCTCTGTAGACCACCTGTGGTCCCCGGCCACTCCTCTGCTGCGCAGAAGCTTTGCATCCTGACGTCTCAGGAGTTCAGTTTTGCTTCTGTTTCCCTGGCGTCTGGGGCCTCGTCCAGGAAGAAGCTGCTCGCGACCAAGAGGCCACGGAGGGAGGGCGCTGTGGTGTTCCTGCTAGGACTGTGATGGCTTCCTGTCCGCGTTTACGTCTTTCATCCAGTTTGTATTTAAAAGATCAACATTTCTAAACAATCTTCTTTTCTATTATTGCAAAAATACACATAAATGTACCATCTTCACCATCTCTGAGAGCACAGGTCAGATGCACTAAGCATGTTGTATAGCCGTCCTTACCAAGGGTCTCCAGAACTTTCCATCTTCCCAAACAGAAACTTTGTCCTCATGAAATATCACCCCCCAGCCCTTCCCCAGCCCCCACCATCCACTCTCTGTCCCCCTGATACACCGACCCCCATCCCTCCCCTGGCCCCTGGCACCACTGTCCACTCTCCGTCCCTGCGAATCTGGAGACTCTAGGGACCCCATCTGGGTGGGATGCTGCAGTATTTGTCCCTCTGTGTCATATTCACTCCGCATCACGTCCCCCAGGTCCATCAGCTGTGGCCGGTGTCAGCGTGTCCCTCCGTGGGACCGAGGGACAGGCTGGTGTGTGGACAGACCACGTGTATCCATCCACTCACCCGTCGATGGACGGGGGGGCTGCTCCCGTGTGTCAGCGGCTGTGAACATGGGTGTGCAGCGTCCACACACGTCCCTGCTTTCGATTCTCAGGGTACATAACTAGAAGAGGAATTGCCTGATCACACGGTCATTCCGTTCTCAATTTCTGGAGGAACCGCCACGCCGTTTCCCACAGCAGCTGCCCGGCTTCCATTCCCGCCGACTGTGCGGGATGCGGGGTCCACCCTGCACGTCCTCCCACACGCGGGGCTCCCGTTCCGTGCTCCTCTTGTGGGTATGGTTGGCGTGGAATGGGCAGGGGGGTGCGTATAGCTGAGAACAAGCTCTGTGGCGTGGAGATGCAGACGAAGGGGAGATCCTGAACAAGGATGTCAAATACCCGGAAGAACTCGTGGGTTCTCTACACTCACACCTTTTCTACCTCTGTCCACTGAGAAGACCAAGGGAACACGGCCAGCTCAGAAGTGAAGAGCCCGCCTGACGTGCAGGCTGCGGCCTCCACACATCGCCGCCCCTGCGGCAGCCGGGCGGGTTCCAGAATTCGGGTTCCAGGTGTGCACCCTGCTCTCTGGGGAAAGGACAGCAACGCCGTGTGAGGGCGGGAAGGTCATCATCACTGCGACTCAGAACTAGCCTGAAGACATTCCCTGGCCAAGGGCGGGGCAGTTTAAGGACCTAGGGAAGGACAACAAGCCCGTGGCTTGAAACACAGCGGTGCTCAGTCTTGATGCAACGGTACTTCCCACACAAACGCCTCACTGTTCGCCCCTGGACGCCAAGGTGGCGTAGAGTCCAATCCGCATGGGTACTCTGAGGGCCAGCCGACGAAAGGACAGAGGCGGCACGCGTCCTGCTCCTTCAGGGGCCCGGTTAGCTGGAAAGGGGCAGGTTTTCCTTCTGCGACTACTCCATCGACCACCGGGGACAGGAGGCTGCCGCATGGCCTTTGTAACGCCTAACAAAGGAGTGATTCTGGGCAGTGGTCGCGAGTCCCCAAGCAGGTCACAGACCGCCCGAGAGCACAAGCCTCCCACTGGAGGGACGCCGTCCCCGGCGAGGAGTCTTGCTCCCCGGATTAGAACTCCATCCAGCAGTGTCTCGGGACAGCTGACGACGGACAGGACACACAGGGGAACGTGCTACACTGTGCGCCGGCATGGCGGGGAACAGCACAGGAGCTGCTGGCTCTCCTCAGTGGGGCTGCGGCGGGAGAAGAGAAGGCGCAGGGCTTGCGGCCTGAGAGACTCGCTGAGTCAAGTCTGCAACCTAGTGAAAGGTGCTGTGCCAACGCCGCCCTCTGACAACGCAGTGCCTGCAGTGTCGCCACGCAAGGGCCGGCCGAATGGGACGCCGGCTTCTCTGGGCTGTGTTTGCGCTTTCTTGGGAGTTTATGATCATTTCAAAATACAAAACTGCAAAAGACAGAATTGTAGAGCCCGTCAGCGAACCACAACATGTGGACCTCCCTTGAATCCAAGCAGCGAAAGGAGTCGTAAGGACTAGAGAAACACGAACACTGACCGGGCTGGGTGATGTCGTGGCAAGGACTGCTGCTTCGACCTGCGAGCCGCTCTCTGCTCAGGGAGAAGTGGCCCTATCCTGTCAGGGCATCCGGAGTCGGCTTCCGAGT